GTGGTAGGTTGACACTGAGTACCCACATTATCTAGCTATGAGGGCTAAGAGGGGAGAATATCCTTGATGATGCCATTATTTAGCTTTTTGTATCCTGTCCACCTTACCAGCAATTTAAGAAGCTTAATGAGGTCATCCTAATCCAACTCAGAAGTTAAGGAATGCATATCATCTGAGGAAAATGAATATCATTTAAGAATATAGTAAACCAGAAGGACTGCTATATGACCAGGAGGTCTTAGAAGCTACTCTCTTAGAACCACCATTGTCGTGAATTTTCCACAGGTTGGTGAGTTATCTATTGTAGTATCCTTGGAGGGTCTTTGTGACTTTCTCATAACGTTAGCTTAATGACAGCAGTCAGAGACCCGTGAAAATCCTATTTGGAGGCTTGAAGCCATTTTAGAGTTCCCAGAGATAAGGTGTCTTGACGTAACCTCTCACAGCGTATAGCTGGTCCTATAGAAGTCATTTCAGCATTTTTCATTGCCTCTAACTTTCCCAGAGGTTCTCTGTTGTTATTGTTAGCTGTATATTTTGAAAATGAAAAACAATCAGGTTGAAGAAAAGGCCTCCTGTATGTTGGTGTCTGTGGGAGCAAATGTGGAATAAATATATATAATGCATGGTGGTTGATATTTTGTGTCATTTATCGTCACTTGTGAGAAGAGATGGGATAAGTCACTCAAGACTGTGCCAGTCCTGAACCATTCTTCATCACTACACTCATGAAGATAAATGTCACATTTACACAGGCCACAGCTATCATGTGTCCTTTCAGACCATAGATTTAGATCAGTTAGAGCAGGAGGTTGACTTGGTGCTGTTATTTGAAAATCAAGGACACTTCTCTTGTACCGTCTTCTATTCCCTGATCTCCAGTGTTAAACTAGGCTACCATTGCAGCTAAAGAGATATCAAGTAGCATATATATTTTCATCCCTGTCTATACTTCAGATACTCACTTCACTTTAATTTAAAATTTTTATTTTCTGTATATGCCCAGCCCAGTGTTCTGCAGTGGCAGTTGATTAATAGGATACAATGTTGGTTCTCACATGGTGAGAAGTGGTATAATGAAGAGTACTATGGAAAAAATGATAAGCAAGTGGTTAATTCTCTCTGTGCGCAAGTCAAAGGACAAAGGAGCAAGTCAGAATAGAACTATTGAAAATTAATAATATTTGAGCAGCTTTATTAAGAGAAAACAGCATGGAACCTTAGTTTTCCATGATGTACGAATGGCTATACTACTGGATTTTAAGGCGATGGCAGAACAAGTGTCCTCTCTGCTCTGTGCTTGTGGACCCTGCTATAGGTAATCAATAGAGAATGAACCCTTTATAGCTCTGTACCGAATGTACTTATTCTTGTTTTGTCTGTAATTATGGTTCCACAGATTGAATGTCTGAAGTTAGAAGACTTCCCATTGAAATAAAATTATTGGCTCTTTTTCCCTTGGTTGGTACATGAATGTGTCTATAACTAGAAGTAAGCTGAAAAGGATTTCCATGAATTCCAGAAATTTGGTTGGCAAACTGGACATTTCCAAAATCACTGTCCCTCTTTGAAAATTGTAGTTTGAACCATATGAAATCGTTGTTATCAACAGTTTTTGATTTAGGATATGGCAATTTTATGTGCTTCATTCTAATCATACAGATGAATTGTGTGATTCAGATTCAGGGTAGGTTTGAGTAGGTTCTTTCTGATATAACCAAATAACCTATTTCATTCACTTATTTAAGAAACGTTTATTGAACATGTACTAAATGGCAGTAACTGGTTTATGCATGCACATAAAATGGAATATAGTGCCTGTCCCAGCAAGGCCTGTAGTCTAATGATGCAGAAAGACACATAGGTAGGCAAGTACAACGTGAATGACTAACACAATCATTGATAATTGCTCAATACGTATTCTTTTTTTATTCCCATATGGTGCAATGTGTTTAAAAAGCACACATAAAAAGCCAGTTCCAGGGCATCTGGGTGGCTCAGTCAGTTACACATCCAACTCTTGATTTTGGCTCAGGTCATGATCTTGGGGTTGTGGGACTGAGCCCCATGTCAGGCTCCATGCTGGGTGTGGAGCCTGCTTAAGATTCTCTCTCCCTCTCCCTCCCTCTCCCTCTCTGAAAAAAAGCCCCCAAAAAACAACAACAAAAAAAAAACACCAAAAAACAAGTTCCTACAAATTTTGAAAACCTTGGAACCAATTAATGGCATAAGTACCTCCTTCCATCCTTAACATGTTCATATTAAAAAATTATATATTGGTCAGGGCACTAGCCTAGAGCTCTAAATGCTTAACTTCTTGTATTAACAGTTATCACATATCAGTTTTGTTCCTTTTAAATATAATCACATTACTAAAGTTCCTTATACTTTAACATTTTCATCTGTAAAATGGAAAAATATAATCTATTCTGCCTACCTCCCATAATTGTGGAGGCCAGACAGGATAATGTATATGAGGCAATTTTCTAATCTATAATGTATAAGATAAGCAAAAGGTAAGATTCTGATGACCATTTTTTCTTGTTACCAATCTTGTTTTTATCGTGCTATGTAAAAGATCAAGGTGGTATTTTTTCCTGTGTCTAGTCATGATCCTGTATTTGGGGATGAGTACCATATTCAGCACCAGATACTCCTTTTATAAAAATGGGTAAATTGTTTAGTCACTCCCCAAGTCAGTAGAGCAGTACTTAGTAAACAATGAATGAAACTCTCTCAGATAACAATAATCATTCCTGTTATCTGAGAGCTTACAATATGCCAGGCTTAGTGGTTTATGGACATTACCTCATTTCATCTTCGGAACAACCTTCTAAAGTTGACTCTAAACTTTACTCCACTCTGTGGAGAAGAAACTGAGGGGGTGAACACATAGAAGCAAAGACATCAGATGTTGGACCAGGCTATTGGATTAACTCAATTATTCAAATAGAGAATGGACTAGGATGTAACAGTGGGGGTGAAGAGAGGTGCGGAGACTCTTGATACTCACGATTTCCAATGTATAGGCAATATGATGAAGGTGATAGTCTGTAGAGGTAACAGGATGCAATAGTGAGGATGAGGTGGAAAAAATGGAGATTCAAGGGGACTTTGGTCTGAGCTACTAGGAGGATGACCCCTGGAACGATGCTTGGCATAGGGTAGGAACTTAAAATTTTTTGTCAAATGAATGAATTAATGAATGACTGGAGTTGCTATTAGAAAAGTCTTTATTGGAGATGGAAGTTGAGTTGGAATCAAGGATTTTAATTGGACAGATTGATTTTTGATGCCTCCAAGTGGAGGTCTTGAGTTGGCAGTTAGATGTACAAGTCTTCATTGTAGACGGGAGATGTATGTTTGTAGATGGTGTTTAAAGCCACGATGGGATCACATGGAAAGCGATTCTAGACAAAGAATAGGTCCACTAACTGAGCTCTGGTACACTCCAGGGTTTAGTGGCCTGACAGATAAGGACAACTAGTGATGGAGGTAGAGCAGATTAACCACTGAGATAGAAAGAGAATCGAGAGAGTGGTTTCCCAGGAGTCAAGTACGGACAGTGTTTCAGAAAGGACAGGGTGGTCACTATGTCAAATACTGCTAATTTTTGTCTAATATAAGAATTGAGAATTGGCTACTTCATTTAGCAATGAACATGAGTTTTCTCCTCCTACCTCTTCTTTACCCCCTCTACACACACTAATTGTTACACACTGCCTTGCTCTCACATTATTATAAATCCTGACGTGTTAACTTGTCACCCACATTTCATGTTTCCTAACTCAAGGGTTCTTGAAATCATGAGATTTGGGGAAACTTTCTCTAAGATTGAGTTACACATCTTTTAAAACCAATAACGGAAAATCCACAGATCATCTCTGAAATAAATTTTAATTATACTCAGTTTTACCCATATGATAATAGTAATATTCACTAGTGGTATATTGCTTTGAAGTTTGAGAAGTACATTTACTTACATTCTGTGTTCCACACAGAACCAACTAACACAGTAAAGTGCCCAGCTTTGAAGCTTACACCATCAGACTATGCCACCTGCTAACACCTCCTTGTAGGAGTCACCAGCAGACCCACCAGCAGACTTCACTCCTCCTCATTCCTTGAAGATTTTAACACCTGCCTCCCTGCTGTTCTTTCCAATCCTACTCCTGATAGAATTCTTGGTGATTTCAATATCCATGTCAGTCCCTTGATCTTGATTACTAATTGTGTGGGCTTTTCCCATCTGTACTTGCTCAGGGTTTCCGCTTTGTACTGTTTGCACCAACTGTATGTCTAAGCTTCGGCTGTAAAGATCTGTGTTTGTGGGATTTAAAGATTCTTTAGTTTCCTTCTTATGCTTTGCAAACTGCCAGTACTGTCTCTTCATGTTTCTTTGCTCTAAGTACTGTGTGGCCCTCAAGCTCAGATTCTAATTTTTAATATGCCATTGCCATAGGAGTGTGGGAAGGGGGCGGGGAATAGGAATCAGGATGGATAGGAAGAGGAGATGTTAGCATCTCTTTTGTGTTTGGATGTGGGAAAAGAAACAGCTGGTGTTCACAGCTCATGCCTATGTCAAACTCTTAGCATCCCATTTGACTTTAGTAATTTGGTGTGTTCTGTTTAACTGTTTCCTACCCACATTCAAAATATTTTCTCTCGTTTGATCTTAAGAGGTAGTTTTGATCAACACACTGGATCAGAGAGAAAACGTGACTTGTTGAAGGTCATGCATCTGATCAGTCAGAACCAAGTGTAGACAATAGGTCTTCTGACTCCAAACGCATTTTTCATTGGCATTAAAACATGCATTGTTGCAAACGGCCAGTGGTTAAAATAGCTGCCTTGGCTCTCTGCCCAGGAGAATGTTAGAATACAGTGGTAATTCAATAAATATTGTCACCAGTGTTGTCTGTGGTGATGTTGGTGGCAGCAGATCCAGAAATGTACTGAATTGTTCTAATGGATGCTTCTTTATTTTTTTATTTTTTTAGATTGGCAAACACGTTGCCTGTTTACAGCATAGAGACCACAATGGAGAGCTAGGTGGGTGATGATTCATGCTAAATCTTTCCCACAATATGCTGAACACTACAACAGCAGCTAATGTGAAGTGGCTCATTATACACTGTCAAATCCAATAACAGCAACGACTGGCTTTGCTAGCACGAGCAACTTGTGGGAAGCCCAGCTACTGCAAACCACTACTGAATTTTGAAAAATAGTCTGCAGTATAGTAGAAAAGACATATTCCCTGAGTCATATTTGCAAATTTCTTGTATGTTTCTCTTTGCCAGCTTAGAAACAGCCTTCATGTTCCCAGCTTGACACCAGAGATGACTCTCCTTGCGATTCATTTCTCTTGTGAGTGCCTCCTCCTTCAGTTATATTTTATGGGCTAAAGATTTTATAAGGGTAGGGGTGGCTCATAGGCAGATCTGGAATTGTGGTTCTCCTACAGAAATACTCCCAAAGCTCCCTCGTCACCCAGTCTTACGCCAGCCAATCATGCTATATGCATAAATACATTTCCCTTCTGGAGCACAACATCTGTAGGTAGCTTTTCTACCTCTACAGCAAGATACCATGAGGCAGCAGACAGGAGACTGACTCCTTGCTCTATGACTTATGATTATGTGTCTTTTTGTCTCCATTTAATTGTAATCTCCTGGAAGGCAGGGTCCTGGATTTATTATCTCTGTAGTCTAATGCCTATGAGCCATAGTTGTCCCTCCATAAATATTTATCAGTAAAATTAATGCATTCCCTTCTAAAAAGTCCATAATTAAGCTAAGGACTGGGGTTTAATCTTCTTGCCTCCCTTGTCCCTAGCACAGTGCCTGATACATAGTAGGTGGAAACTCCATGTTCCTTTAGTGAGGGAACAGGGGTATGAATGAGTCCATCAATCACATGGTTCCCTGTGGCCAAATTAAAGGCTAAGCAAACCTTTTCCAATCATCAGGGACAAAAAAGTGATAGCTTCCAATCCTTCTTTGGGCCACCAGGAGTAATGCCCTAAAAGTGGTTGTTTATTTTGGAAGGCAAAAGCTAATCTGAAGCTATTTTCTTTATTTTTATATTCAAATATCTACAAAACAGAAAAACACTGGAGACCTATTCATTGTTCACAAATGATCTATGGGGTAATAATGTGCTTGCTTTTCCAGCTGTGCTGCACTTTGGTGCTATCCTGGGTTTAATTGAAAATATGCTGTGACCTTGGTTTTGTTCACTGGGCATGGGGGGGTATAATTGGCATGAGGCCTCTGAAGAACTCCCTTTTAATGAATGTCATTTGGCTAATTTGAGGTTTGCCTGTGGGAAATAGTGTATGAAGTCCTGTAAAAACAAGACACATTTTATTTGCATGCAATTCACATGAAGGTAATTATTTAAATTTTTTTAACTTTTTATTTTGCCATACCTATTCGTTGAATTCTAAATGCTATCAGTATGATAATAGTATTGTCCCTAACAGTCTCATGTTTCATCATAATTAAATAAACAGCTTGTGAATTGCAGTCCAAAAAATGTCTGTATTCCACTCTTAACTTAAGGGGTTTCCATAGAAACTGTGGGCAGCGAGTTTAACTGACATTCATTGGACTTGAGGCTACATGCAGTGTTGCTATCTCTCTGTTTTTCTGTTACTCTGTGTATACATCTCTTTCTCTTCCTTTAACCCTGGAAACCCTCTTTCCCTCCTCCTCTGCTCCTCCTCCCCCTTCTCTTATTAGCAATGAGGAAGTAATTTGGACTCAGTTAGATTTAACAAATGCAATAATACTAAAATGAGCTCTGATACTTAAGTGTAATTGTGTTATTAACTGGAAATGTTTTTCTTCAAAAACAAAAGAATCGAGAGTGAAGTTTACTAAGGAAGCACATGCTGGTAAGAAGGAACCCTTGGCTGCCAGTTGAAAGTTTGCAGGCTGTATATCACAGTCCATATTTCCAGCCCAGCTATGGCTTTTCCTTGATTTAGGCAAACTGAACTGATGTTTCTTTCTCCTCAGTCCTGATTTTCAGTCTTCTAAATGGAGCATAAAATCATTGTGCTGATCATATTCCGAGAGAAAGAAAGAGTTAATTAGGAAAAAAAAATACTGTATATTGTGTACCTACTGTGTGCCCAATATTTTGCTAGATACTGACATTAGGTTGTCTTAGTTGATCCCACAACATGCATTGCCAGGCAGTGCACTGGAAGGAAAAATAAATCTTGGCCTGGTGGTTGAAGTCTAGATCCCACAACAGGCTGGTTGAAAAGCCTTGATTATAGTGCATAGAGGCTCTGTCTTGGTTTTTCAAAGACATAATGAATATGAGCACTTCTAAGAAATGGTGTTTCATTAAGATTAGTTATAATAATGTAGCCAGTACACCATAAGACTGGTGTTTTCTTCATCCCTTTAGAATTGAGTTGCCAAGGGGCACCTGGGTGGCTCAGATGGTTAAGCGTCTGCCTTCGGCTCAGGTCATGATCCCAGAGTCCTGGGATCGAGCCCCGCATCGGGCTCTCTCCTCGGCGGGAAGCCTGCTTCTCCCTCTCCCACTCCCCCTGCTTGTATTCCGTTTCTCGCTGTGTCTCTCTCTGTCAAATAAATAAAATCTTAAAAAAAAAAAAAAAGAAAGAAAAAAAAAAAAGAAATGAGTTGCCAAAGAGTAAATTGCTTCTCCAAAGCAACATAGCTAGTAGAAAATGTATCCATCTGGTGCAGTGGTTAAAAGGGTGTATCAAGACAGACCTGAGATCAGCTACTAATTGTGTGATTTGGAGTAAGCTACAAACAGCATCTGCTTCATGAAGTTGTTATGAGGATTAAGTAAAGCAGTAAAGCGTATGTAAAGTACACAGAGTATCTACCACATAGAGAGTTGTGTTTTTTACTCTTTCTGTCTCCCTTCCTCCCCCACCTTTCTGATTTTTTTGTTTTTTGAGTATGGATTCAAAGTAAAAAATGATCAGTCTCCAAAGTCTATCTAATACGTATGGTTTTATAAGTTATAAGTCATCTCACAATTCATAAACTATCTAAACTTAACCTGGTAATGAGAAAAAAGGGACAAAAAAAATATGCTCACTTTACAGGTGAGGAAAAAGGAGATTCAGTTATTGACCAGATCTCCATATAGTGAAAAAGGAAGTGGAGTTTTTCCCTAGGTCTCTGGGGTTCCTTTTAAAATTAAAACTTTCAAAGTCCATGATTCTTAATTTGGGTTCTATGTTCACGAATTTTAAAGCTTCACCCAGCAGATTTGAATTCATCTTTCCAACAAATCGTGAGAGGAAGACACTTTTAGCAGGGAGGGAGGAAAGGAAGGAAGCAGAGGGTACTTACACAGGCTGTCTCTTACAGACCTGTTACCTGGTCATTCTCCCAGGATCCGAAGGGGCATGCAGAAGTATGTTTCTCAATCCCAGGGACAGAGGAGGCACTGATTTTGCATAGCAATATGCTTTAGTGGGATGGGGTGAAATGGGAGGAAAAAACTGAAAAGAAGGCATGTATCAGTCAGAGGTGTTGGTGGGCATCTAAAGAATTCCGGAAGAGTAAACATCTTGGACAAGAGTGGGGTGGGACATGATTGCTGGAGAGCATAATTGTTACCCATATATATATATATATATATACACACACACACACATATATATACATATACAAGATTATATATATATATGTATACTTATATATACATATATATGCATATACAAGATTAATCACAATGAACATTTCTTTAATATATAATCATCATAAGACTTCAAAGGCTCATACTAGGAGAAAAGATGTTAGCTCTGCCATTTTTACTTGTGGTGTGCTTATGTTTGCCTTATTATTAGAATATTCATTCTGTGTTCTCTTTGAAAGATTCCCTTTATGCCCCTTTCTCCATTTTGGGTTAGTTGTTTTGTAAAAACTGAATAAAAGAATCCCTGAAACCACTTAGCCAGACCCACAGAGATTGTAGTATGTCACCAAGTGCTGAAAACCTATGAACAAGTAACTATACCCCGCTGTGTTACGGAACTCCCTCTTTTGCTCAGGGCTCCTCCCATATGCTATGTGACATCTGGAACCATTGCCAAATTAGTAAAACTGAATCTCTTTATTTCTGAGATGAAAGTTACTTATAAAAAGAAATTTTAATATTTTTCTGCCATGCCCTAATGGATCATCTTGGCAGGTTTGGGGTCGAAGAGAGTGAATAAGAAAAGGATTATTTTTATAATCATGACTCCAGAGCAGGGTCAGCAAACTTTCTGTAGAGGGTCAGTAAGTAAGTATTTGGGGCTTTGCAAGCCTTATAGTCTATCACAACTACACAATTTTGCACTTTAATGTGAAATCCGCCATAGAGAATACATACACGAATGGGTGCGGAAGTATTCCAATAAAACTTTATTGAAAAAAAAAAAAAACAGGCGGTGAGCCAGATTTTGTCCATGGGTAGTAGTTTTCCAACCACTGATCTGAGGATTTTGCCCACATCTCTATCCACCTTCCATTTCTGTGCACATGGCAGTTGCAGTTTAAAGGGTGGGGCTGGGGAGTGTAGGAGTGACAAAAGTATCATAATTTACTCTGATTTTGTGGATTTTGCTTTTTGTTACACTTATTTGTGATTAAAACTTATCTTTCCAGTATTTCTTTGGCATGGGAAGAACAGGTGTTCATTCTGTCTTCACTTTACAGAAGGGTACAGAAAGTTTAAGTGGTTTGTATTGTTGTCACCCATCTGTGATATCTGTATTAGGATCTGACTATCACCCCTGTGTTTTTCTATTTGGATTATTCTTTCTAGGATGCATCCTTTAGAGAATTAAAAAAAAAAAATGGTGGGAGAAATAACCAAGAAGTAATTTTCGTTATCCAAACCAGGGAAAAAGTAGTGACTTTTAATGACTTAAATAGGGACACGCACGGGCGTCCCTACTTTCTTATTCCATTAAGATACCATAGGGGATCCAGTTCCTTATTGCTTTTCATGGATTTTCCTGATCTTTTTTTCCATGGTATGTTTTTGGAAATGATGCGTTTTAG